CTCATAAGCAGACCTTGAACAATTATCATAATACTATAAGAAAGGGATTGGCAGTGGGAAACTGCCAGGGGAGTGGGGGTGGGATTGGCAGTTGAGGGAAACTGCCAGGGTATCTGGGGTGCACTTTATCAACAAGAGAACCTGCATAATGAACATTTGTATACCTAACCCTGAATTGTACCCCACATCTTTAAAACAGAAAAATTTTTTAAAATAAAAATAAAACAGCCTGGGCAGCAAGACCTCATCTCTACAATAAATCAAAAATATCAGCCGGGCGTGGTAGCGCATGCCTGTAATTCCGGCTACTTGGAAGGCTGAGGCGGAAGGATCGCCGGAGCCCAGCAGGTCGAGGCTGCGGTGGCCAGGAGCGGCCACTGCACTCCAGTCTGGGTGACAGAGTGAGACTCCCACTCAAAAAAAAATAAAAAAATAAAAAAAATAAAACAGAAGCCCAGGGGAAAAAAAGAAAAGAAAGCTTAAGAAACTAAAAGCAACATAGTCTTGTTAGAATGTAGGCAGAGAGATTGGAGGAATGTGGCTGTGTAGGAAAAAGTTGACGAATGAGAGCAATGATTGGTAAAAAGGGACTAGAAAATATAGGAATCTTAGATGTGATAGTTAAAAGATAAGACTTTTTCCTATAAACCAGGAAGCTATTGAAGTATTATATTGTGACTTGATCAGATTTGTCTCAAACGAGCTCTCTTACTACTGTGGAGGGAATGAATTGGAGAAGCAGAGGGACTACTGGCAAGGAGGCCTATTTCATGATCCAGATGAGATGATGTTGGCTGAGGCTGTGAAAATAGAGGAAGGGAGCACATTTTTAAAATAAAGTATCTCATAGCTTGTGAAATATTTAGAGTGTAGGCAAGTTGCTAGGCTCCCACTTAGATTAGTGAATAATAAATTTAGTAATAGACCTAGAGGTTATACTATTTAACAGAAAATTTAAGGACTGCAATTTTTTTCCTTTGTGTCTGTAAAACCAATACAGTGTTATATTTTGTTTCCAAAAATCAGGTTTTCTAAGATCACTATAGGTCGGTCACAGCCACACAATTTTGTGTTTGGGGTAGGAGAATACACAGATAGAGCAATGAAACTCCCTTGATGTTCAGTTCTAGAGTTCCCCTCTATTTTTCATTTTAGTTGTCTTAGTTAGATTTGGTAAGTCTAAATAATCTGTGGGCAAAGGTTCCAGTCTCCAAGGAACGCATATTGCTTTAAGTGCATTAAGCACAATAGCATAGGCCACATACATGTAGGTTCCCTGCCCAGGCTCAACTTCTTAAGCCATATTTGCTAACACTCTTTCACAAACACAAAATCCTGTCGTAAAAGAGACAATAACCCATCAATTGATGATATTATACATTAATGTTCTTGTTTTGTTTATTATCTAACTTCCCCCACTTGAATGGACTTTCTTTTGTTCAGGATATATCCCCCTGCACCTAGACTGACACTCAACATACACCAGGTGCTCAGCAAGTATGTACTGAATGAATAATCATGAATGAAGAATGAAGGAATATTTGTGTTAAGCAAATCAACTTTGTTAAATAAGAAAGATGTTTCTTTTCATTTCAATCGTATAAATTCATTTAATTTTAAGTGTTGAACGTCTGCTACTAAAATGTTTGAAAGTAAAGTGATTATTTTTAATGTTTGCAGGACTATCTCAAGCAGGTGCTGGACATTGATCTTCATGCTCAGATCCATTTTGGCAGGGTTTTTATGAAACCAGGGTATGAAAATCATCTTGTTATCTCATATATGGGGTTGGTTTGGCTTGCTTTAACTAATAAATTTTAAATGCCTTCTTTTTTACATTTTCTATTATGGATTACCTATTCTAACAAAAGAAATAATTATAGTATTAGAATCCTTTGCACAAGTGCAGCTCCTATTTGAAATAGGAATTCATATTTTGTGTGAATCAGTGAGTTTGTTGTAAACAAAACAAAACAACTTTCCAAACCTTTTCTCCTTTTTAATCCCATACCTAGTTTCTTCTTCCTCTTCTTTTTCTTTCTCTCAAAACTGCTTCTTTCTCTCTTATTTAAAACAGTTTAGTATGAAAATTCTCAAATAGGCAAAAAGTAGGGAGTACAATGAATCCCTCCCCACTCCCCGCCATGTACCCATCACCTAGCTTCAGTAACTGTCAACATTTTCTGTAATTGTTTTATCAATCCCCCCTTACCCTGCTTTTTTAGGAGAGAGGGCTAGATTGTTTTAAAGGAAATTCTAGACATCATGTCATTTTTGATATACATATCCAATAATAATAATTACAGCAACATTCTCTTACATAATCACAATGGTATTATATCATCTAACAATAAATAACACTTTAATATAATCTAATAGCCTGATCATATTCCAATTTCTCCAACATCAAGAAAAAGAGCACCTTTCAATAATTGTTTTATTTGAATCAGGATTCAGGTAACATCCACTCATTGTATTTGTTTGTTAAATCTGCTCAATGAAAACATGTTCTCCTCCCCTTTTTTGTCATGCCATTGACTAAGAGAAACTGGGTTGCTTGTCCTGATGAGTGGATTTGGCTGATTACTTCTTTGGGTTGTGTTCCTCTATCTCTGATATACTCTAGAGATTGAAAGTTAGATCTGAAGGCTTAATTAAATTCAGATTCATTTTTTTTCCTTTGCAAGAATACTTTTCACATTGCTTCTTACTTTCTCTCAGGAGAAAAGAAAAATAACCATGTACTAAGATTTTGTACATCTCCTAAAAACTAATAACACCTAAAGAAGGGCTGATGGAGCTTCTGAAATCAGGTGTAAATCCTCAGCGAATGCCAAACATTGGTGTTGGTGAAACATGCATGGCTATGTATCTAAGCAATAACCTGCCTGCTCAGACCCTTGCACCTCTATGAAGTTTATTCCCTGTTCAAAGACCTCATTGTATGGGTGAGCATTCTAGCACACCCCCATATTGTCAGAGACAACAGTAGTGATGCTTTAGTTCAAAATTATACCCTGAAGGATGCTCACGTGAACCCTAAGAGAGATTCAGCAGGGGCTTCTCAATAGATGTACATGAGCTATGGGAACCATGAGCAAATTCCAGAAGCCTTTTAAGTGTTAAGCCACCCAGAGATCAAGCTTTACCTTCATGATTTGTCCATTTTAATTATAGAGTTAAGATTATCCTTAAAGCTCTCACCACAATTTGAAAGAACTTAGAATTCTTGGAATTATATTTATGAAATGGCCTGTTTAGTGTGCCCCAATTTAGCTCTGTTTGCAAGGCCCTTTTGTTTTTGAAATTTTTTATTTGAACCATTCTTATTAAAAATAATATTTTGTCTTAAGCAAGTATTATTATGTTGTGGGGTGTACAGGTCTTTTATTTTCTGTCCCTATGGGCAGTACTAATTTGATTAGAATACAGGGGATATCCCAAAAGCATGTTAATGTGTTTCTCACTAACTTCAAATATTGAACTGATTTTTCCCTTTGTGGCAGGAAGGAAGTTAGCATTACTTGCCTTTACCTCTAAAGGAGAATTATTTGTGTAATATCCATTATTTTAAATACTCTCAGCACCTATGTTGATAATTTTTTGTACTGTTTTTCAGGCTATTGTTTACTATTTGCTTCAACTTTAGGAGTTCATCAATTCCTAATGTTTAATCTCTTCCCTTAAAGTCATAATACTCTGTGACTTTCGCCATTGTATGAATGCTGTTACATTTTGATTTCAAGAGGAAAACTGAACAATAGGTGTTGAGTTCCAAGGAACTAGCTTTCCAGATCTCAAACAAGAACTGGCAGTGGGACATTCCTGATAGCAGTACATGATAACAAAATATTTTGTTGTAATGCGATCTTCTTTAAATGAATACTCGAAGCGGGCTGGGTGGCTCAGTCTCTCATCCCAGCACATTGGGAGGCCGAGGCAAGTGGATTGCCTGAGCCCGCACGTTCGAGACCAGCCCGAGAAACTTGGCGAGACCTCGTCTCTACAAGAAATAAAAAATTAACTGGGTATGGTAGTGCGTGCCTGTAGTTCCGGCTACTTGGAAGGCTGAGGCAGAAGGATCGCCAGAGCCTAGCAGGTTGACGCTGGGGTGACCGTGAGCTTGCCACTGCACTCTAGCCTGGGTGACAGAGTGAAACTCCAACTCAAAAAGAAGGGAAAAAAAGGACACCTTTAGAGAAATCACATTACCTACCTGCAAAAAGCAAACGATTATTTAAACTGACTTTAAGTACAGGAGAAGGAAGAAGGTGTTATGCATTCCCTCCTCACTCTTATTTTCTGTGTGTTGTTTGTTAGGGTAGTTTAGAAGTTTAAATGGGCTTCTTTTAGTTGGCCAGAATTTTATGCTTGTCTATCTAAAGGTAAGAAGAACTTAAAGATAATTGCTACTTAATGGAACAAAAAGAAATATAAAAAGCTCAAGTACAATTTGGCTTTGCTCTTTTCACATGCAGTGCATTCAGAATGCAATTAAGCTCTTTTATTTTAAAAACAAAAATACTTGGAAAAGCATTTGGAGTGTTAGCAACCATATCTACCAATCACTTATTTTTATAGGAATCTACAGTGAGTATAGTTGGTATCAATTATAATTATTGCCAAGTAACCTATCCATAAGTTGATAGGACAATCTGATCTCAATTTTCTAAAACACAGCAAAATCTGAAAGTAAGCAAAAAAACAAACAAAAAAACCTCAAAGCAGCCAAAATAGATATCACAAAGTCTTTGCGCTAATACTTCATAGCACATCCTGTAGAGATCTTTATCTAAATACAACCCATAAAATTAGAACACCCTTGGTTCTAATCTTTGTAATCACTTAATAATTCAGTGATTTTGGCCAAATTGCTTAATCTGAGTTTCAGTTTCCTCATTTGTAAACTGAGCTTGTTGTGAGACTTAAGTGGATGTGATACATAGATGTTACTTTAAAAGTAGTGATTATTTAAATTACTAGTATGATTTTCAGTCTAACACTATAACTATTACTACTGCTCTCTAGTTCTCAAACCTAAAGCCAACTTTAAGGGTCAAGATGATGGCAGTCTGGCTTTACAGGGAGCCACGGGGGTGGAGGCGGGGAGGGACAACAAGAACTAGAAACACAGCAATGTGGGGTTATAATGTAAGTTAAAACAACCCATAGTACTCTTGTGACCTAATATCACTGAGTTGTAGAAGAGTAGAATACATTGATAATGATGACTATAAATCATCAAAAAATATCAGTCACCATATTATTGTAAAAGGTAATGAGTGAGTGATCCATTTTTGAAACATCAACCTCTGAAAATAGTAAAAATAAAAATAATTTGAGTTCTTAAAAGGCTACATTTTTATCTATATAGAAATTTCAGCAGTCCCTAAGAATTCTGCATCACTTACACTTCATTAATATAATGAGATTCTTGGCTAAAATTCTATGTAACGATAACTAACAGGAAAAAAGCCATTGTTCTCCACTGCCCACTCCATGCCACTCGCCCTCCCACATGCCCCATGATAACAATTTGTCAGAATCTTGAGGAAGTATAACTTGAGATTATTTTAAAATTACTGTTGCTTTAATTTTGTTCTAATCACAACGTTTTTTTATTTGGATATTTCAAAAATATATCTTGATAGGAGGGAGGTCTTTATTGCAGAAGATACTTATAAATGTTAAGAAATACTCATCTTGAACATTAGGTAATTATCTGATTTTAAGAATAATCATAGCTGAGCTAGGTAGCTCAGCCTATAATTTCACGCCTTGGGAAGGCTGAGGTGAATGGACTGCCTGAACCTACGGGTTCGAGACCCGCCTGGGCAACTTGGCGAGACCTCATCTCTACAATAAATTTTTTAAAAATTAGCCGGGCATGGTAGCGTGCGCCTGTAGTTCCAGCTACTTGGAAGGCTGAGGCGGAAGGATCGCCGGAGCCCAGCAAGTCAAGGCTGTGGTGGCCGGGAGCGGCCACTGCACTCCAATCTGGGTGACAGAGTGAGACTCCAACTCAAAAAAAAAAAAAAAAAAAAAGAAGAATCATAAATCTCCAGCAAAAGTAGTATAGACATTATCAATTAGAGGGGTGAGGAAACTCAAATCCCCAGGACTCCATAGGAGTCCATTTCTATGGCTCTGCAAAAATAAAAAGTAAGCTCAAGAAAACCAGGAAGTCTGGTTACTTGAAAACAGAAGATACTAAAAACAAATATATTTAGGCCGGGTGCAGTGGCTTAAGCCTGTAATCCCAGCATTTTGGGAGGCCAAGGTGAAAGGATTGCCTGAGCATGAGGGTTTAAGACCAGCCTGGGCAACATGGTGAGAGCTCGTATCTACAATAAATCAAAAAATTAGCCAGGCATGATAGTGCGTGCCTTTAGTTCCGGCTACTTGGAAGGCTGAGGTGGAAGGATCTCCGGAACCCAGCAGGTTGACGTTGGGGTGGCTGTGAGTGTGCCACTGCACACCAGCCTGGGCGACGGAGTGAGATTCCAACTCAAAAACAAACAAATAAACCAAAAGTATTTAAATGCTCCTGAAATACTTCAGAGTATAAAGGTGTAGGCGAGTCCACAGAAAAGTATTTTATATGATAAGGTATCTGTATGGATAGCCACATAACAAGAAAACTTTACTCGTCGTACTACTTAGTATTCACTAATAAGTAACTCTTTTTTTTCCCTCCAGCCTGCCGACAACATTTGCAACTTTGGACATTGATGGTATAAGAAAAATAATCTTTGCCCTTCCAGGTGAGAATAATCAAAATTGTTTCTTTTGCTTTTTCTGAAAAAATGGCCAAAATTTTTTGAACTTCTAACATGACCAGTCCGCTGTCAGATCACTTGATTTGGAATCTGAAAGAACTGGACTCAAGTCTCAGCTTGCTAAATGATGAATCATTTAACCTCTCTGAGGCTGTTTCTTCACTTATAAAATGGGACTGATATCTACTTCATAAGGTTGGTGTGACAGTCAAATTGGATATCAAAGCACATTCCAGACTCTAAGGTGAGAATCAAATGTTAGCTGTCCCCTAGATCTTTCTGGAGCATCTGCCCCCCCGCCACACTTTTTTTTTTTTTTTTTTTTTT